AATAGTGAGCAAGTAGTGCTGTCAATAGACTAGTGACCAATCAGCAATCAGTGCTGCCAGTAGACTAGTGACCAATCAGCAATCAGTGTTGCCAGTAGACTAGTGACCAATCAGCAATCAGTGTTGCCAGTAGAATAGTGAGCAATCAGTGCTGCCAGTAGACTAGTGACCAATCAGCAATCAGTGTTGCCAGTAGAATAGTGAGCAAGTAGTGCTGTCAATAGACAAGTGACCAATCAGCAATCAGTGCTGCCAGTAGACTAGTGACCAATCAGCAATCAGTGTTGCCAGTAGACTAGTGACCAATCAGCAATCAGTGTTGCCAGTAGACTAGTGACCAATCAGCAATCAGTGTTGCCAGTAGAATAGTGACCAATCAGCAATCACTGCTGCTAGTAGACTAATGACTAATCAGCAATCAGTGCTGCCAGTAGACTAGTGACCAATCAGTGCTGTCAGTAGAATAGTGACCAATCAGCAATCAGTATTGCCAGTAGACAAGTGACCAATCAGCAATCAGTACTGCTAGTAGACTAGTGACCAATCAGCAATCACTGCTGCCAGTAGACTGGTGACCAATCAGCAATCACTGCTGCCAGTCGACTAGTGACCAATCAGCAATCAGTACTGCCAGTAGACTTATCTCCACTATATGCAAATCATGATGGTCATGTGACCATGCAAGGTTATTAAGTTAGCCCATTCTCGATCAAACTTGTTTACTCATACATATGACTGAGTGATACAGTTTGAATCTTGTTTTTTACTGTTTATATGTTCATCTATGTAATTTCTTTTAGTGCACTATAGTAATATATGGGATATAAGGTAATGATATAATATAGTTATGCACATAAGAATTTGTTTTCTCATAACTGTTAAAAATGTTTGCAGTCATCAAAAGATTAGTTATCTGAAGAATGTGAAAAATGAAGGTTGAAAATCACTGTCAAAATAACTTTTAATTTAAATTCGTCCTCATACTTTCAAATTTCATACTGTCAAAGAACATATACAATCAATTTAAGTCAGAAATCAACGTCAATTTTTGTTTTGTCTCGCGCTAAAGCAGTGGTGTATTTGCGTACTCTTATACTTGGGAAATAGCGCCACCTATAGTGTAAAAGTGTAATCTGTTCTCATAGTTCCAACTGTAGAGGGCAGTGTAACATTGTAACTTATTTTCCCACTGCACCAATATTAGGAACACACTTCACTGAGTACATCTACTGACAACTTGAATATTCTAATGATCAAGAAACTAAACCTCATTTCACCAAAGATGACTGCTTGCAGTCCAACAGTACGATTTAAGCTTAACTTAACATTTAGCTGGTTTTGAACTTGCTTTCAAAACTGTCACATGTCTAAATTCTTTAATCGGCCTAAGTATCTGCTTAGATATGTCTCACCGTAGTAACATAAATATCTGCTTAGATATGTCTCACCGTAGTAACATAAATAATTAAGTTTAAATTGTTGAAGAAAATTAAACAAATTTAATAAAAATAGTTCTGAAAAGACAAAGCCAATAGTCTGCTTGTTAAGTTAAGCTATGCCAAGACTGTACTGTACTTAAGCACTGTAATAATCACTGATAAAACATTACTTCACGAATGATCAACCCTGATAACCCACTTTACCAATAGTGGTTTCATTTGTTTCAGTTGATTTTATTGGTGGATTTGATTCATACTCAAGTTATTCGTCACCACAGAAAGGAGGATCAAGCACGAATGTGATGATGCAGATGCAGCCAGTATACGTGTAAGTATTAGACCATTTATCCCAACAACTGTTAATTTCAATCAATGACGTAATACACTATCTGTAATTGTGCTATACATGTAGTGCCATAAGCACAATATGTGCATTCATTTTAAGCAATAAAGTATAGTTTGGTTTAATTAGTGCAAGTAATTGATGCTATCAATATAAAACATTGTCATAGCATGCTGCTACTAGATTGGCTACAAAGACTGCTTCACCATAATGAATATCACCAACAATTTCTACTTAGACCTTAATGAACACATGCGTATCTGCATTCAGGATCACTTCTTCTATCTGGTTTGTTTGGATGTTATATCTCAGTGCGTGGAGGCAGAGGAGTGGAAGCAGTAAATGATAAATTTAAAACTGGAGTCACTGCGTATTGTTATTGTTTGGCTCTATATCCCTCCATATTGAGCTTTGATGAATGTTGATCGCTGATCTTCATTTGTGTATGCTGCATGTAAAAACACTGTCCAATTGCACCAGTCAGTGACTTCTATGCACGACCACATTCTCTGACTGTGATATGTAAATATAGACAAAACACTGTCCAATTGCACCAGTCAGTGACTTCTATGCACGACCACATTCTCTGACTGTGATATGTAATCTCTGTTAAGACCTTATTCACTCCCTAGCATGGAAACTATATGTGTAGACTCCTAAGTTGAGGTATTTTCCCAGAATGCTGTGTATTTAGAGTATTTAGAATGGTTAGAGTATATAGTCAAACCTGCCTATAGTGACCATTTTAGGCAGCACCCAAAGCATAAATTATGAGCAACCTGTGTATAAAGACCACCCGTCTTATGTGACCACTTTTAGATCGTTGACCAAAA